TGTTTTGTGTTTCCCCAGTTTGTGGTGGATTTGAGCACTCCCTAGTGGCTGAGTTTGGAATTGCATTTTGTCTACAGAGCACAAACAGAAGATTGACAGTTGGTTTAAAGTAGGAGTTTAGGTTTAGCTGGTTAGCAAGGGCTAAATAACAATTTTAGATAGATATTATGCTATTTTGTGGGGAAAAAAGCAACTTTCTCCATTGACAGCCATTCTAAAATTAGTATATATGCTAAACAAAAAATATTTTTGCAAGCAACATAATTCCATGAATTTAAAGAAGAGGGAAGGTTTTTGTCTGTGTGCACTCTTGCGGTGCTATTCAGTGTTGTCAGGACATCATTTTCCTATAGCTTCACCCTCTTTTGCCTTCTCACCAACTGAATTAGGCCAATCATGAAAATTATTTCTTAATCTGTTGAGAAAATTAATGTAAATGTAGAATGTCGCAGGGTGTGTGTTCCACTAATCCATCATAACATCTGACCTCACCCGAACCAATCACAGCCTTCTATCTTTGCTTATAAGATGACTCATGTATAAGTCAAGTAAAAATCTCATTGACATTTAAAATAACATTGCAATGTCTTTATATAAAATACTAAGTTGAAATAAAAGATTAACCTTTGATGCATGTATGATGTTTCTGAGTGCACATTTAAAAATGGTATCAAACTACAGCTTTTTTTCTTATGCAAAAAGAAATAATGATTTGCCTATAATTAGCATATCATATAGGTCATCACGCCACACATTCCCTTTACAAAGAGTTTATCATATTCTGCCCTATTAATAATTTCTGACTATTGTTTTATGATAGAACCCTTGTCTTTACTTTCTCATTCCACTCACTTATAAACTAGTGTTAAAAAGTTTGGGTTTGGTATTTTTTTTTTCTCTTATCGTTCTTATGCATTTATCTGATTTAAAAAAGTAATAAAAAAGTAATATTGTGAAATATTATTACAATTTGAAATCATTTTTTTTATTTTAATTAATTTTAAAAGCGTAATATATCCCTGTGATTCCAGTCTTCAGTGTCACACGATCCTTCAAAAATCATTGTAATATGCTGATTTAGTCCTGATCAACACAGTTATTGGAACTATCCTTCGTCACAAATGGATGCGCATGAATGCTCAAGGCCCATTTTGTATTATTATCAACGTTGAGAACAGTTATGGTGCTTGATATTTTTTTAATGCTCTTTTGCTAGCTAAAACACACTCTACAAAATTTGCTGGTTTAGTGGTGAGTAAGAAAAGGAAAAATAAATTCTGATTGCAGTTTCCCCTTACTGAAGGATTCAGCTTTTCCTTTCCTTGTTCTTTTCATTATACTTTTTTTTTTTAACTTTCCTGAGTATGCCCGAGTTGCAAATAATGTAAAGCAGAAGGTGACTGGGTGGAAACACGAAAAAGAAATAATAATAAAAAAAAAAACACAAACACAAAAGAGTAATAAAAAGTTGATTTCATTATGATTTGCCAAGGACATTCACTTCATTCTTGCTACATCCTGTCGAGGTAATTGCATGCAGTTTCATCTGGAAATGGGTGCAACTGAACTAAAAATTCCACCCTTTTCAAATGAGACACATTAAAAAATAGTCTAAAAGGCTATCAGATTCATAAATGTATGTAAATCTGACCCTGTTGGTTAAGTGATAAGCCTAAAACTGCATTCCATTCATGTAACTGAGAAATAAAGCATGCACGTTTGTGGGTGAGAGAAATAAATAACGAAAAAGTGTATAGGAGTGGGGGTGGTCACATGTTGTTAAAGGGGGCAGGGTGGTGGAATTCCTTCACTGTGGAGTGTGACTCACTGTCCCTCTATTTTCCAGCTTTTCCTCTAACTCTTTCTGCCAGATGTGGCTGCCAACTTTTCATTAGACTCTTCATTTGTAAACCGTGATGGCTTGTCTGTGCTCTGCAAACCATATCAACACAAGGAAGTTCTTTGTTCAGACATGTGACATCCACTAAGCTACTGACTGGAAAGAATTCAATAATGAAGTGAGAAAAAGGCTGTAAACAGAATTTCTTATGATCAGCGTTCTATCCTCCTGATTTAAGTGATGACTCTCAACATGACTATTGTTGGTGTGCACAGCGCATTGGTGGTGATGTAGCCACAAAAAAGGAAATGAAAATGTTGCTAGGAAACAACAAAACAACACACATAAGGTTGCCATGTGTATGATTGAAACAAACACTCAGTTTGGTGTACTTCCGTGCAAATAAACCAAAAGCTTTAGCTGGAGAGCATGCAGGGGACTTAAAGCATGAAGAAGAGAGAAGAAAGAAGAGAGGGTTGAACAAACCATGCACTTTTCCCCTGCAGGGCAGTTTGTGATTTGTATTCGGAGCTCTCAGAAATCATGGGATGGATGACTCATCTGGTAACCAAAGCTCCCTGGAATCTATGGACATTCCATCCAAACAAAGACTGCAGATCGCACTTTTGACAGAGAAAGTACTATAGCCACAGACGAGATGCAGTTAGCATTAGCATTCTGATTCAAGTCAGAGATACATTCCATGAAATCAATGACATCAATTCATGTATCACAGGTATTTTGAGCTGCGCTTGTTTAATCAAAAAAGTGAGCCACGATTTGTTCCTTGATGCCCATTAAACGTTTGTAGCAATTTACAAACATTGTGAGAGTACTAAAAAAATCATACAATACAAGTAGGCTACTGCTGAGATCACTGAACTCAAGAAAAGTTTGTTAAACTTTATGTTAAACTGTAAATGCATGAATGTTTCGCCAATCATTATTACATATTCGGGTCTTTAGTGACCCAGATATGGATGGATCTCAGTATAAAACTTCCTGATATTTTAATATCAATTACAAAGTAATAAAATAAAGCACACTTCGTTAAAATTTTGGAACTCTGAAAGATTCAATTTGAGCTGATGCTTTTTACTATCACCACTGTCCTCGGCCGAGCTCATTTCCCAGTACATTCAGCATCTGGCTCATATTCGCAATCTCAACCATTATTCTCAAAATTATCCTTGTCAGTGTCTTCAAAATCCAAAATCTGATCACTGACAGCTTCTTTACCAGATCCACCATCAAGAGCAAGATTCCATACAGTATTTACTCTGCTTTAGCCTAAATAACTGAGCCATTTGATGTTTTGCTGACTTAAGTATTCTTTTGTTTATGCCTGCAGTAATTATGAGTGAAACATTACGTCATTGTTCTGTATCAGACATTGCCACCTTGAGGAATAAAGATTGATTGTACTTGAGTCATCAGAGATTCAACTATTGTTAAGCAGAAAAAAAAAATACTTACACTATTACCAACCTCGGGTCCATAGCGACCCTGTACCTTTTACAAAAATTTAATTAGAAAAGAGCCATTCATTCATAATTTTTTTCTTAAAAGAAAGAAAGAGAGAGAAGGAGAGAAAGAAAGAAAGAAAGATCATTTTTCAAAAATGCTTTTTGAAAACTCCTCATGTTTCTTTCATCTCCTGGGTGTGTTAGGCCTCTGGGTGTCTTGTTCTTTGGATCACAGGCATTTCAAAGCAACATCTTCATCACAACAATTAGCTCTGTGTGTGTTTTTTTGTTTTTTTTTGTCCTAAAATTTCAAATCCATAAAATAAAGGTCAATGTGGTCCAATTGTTTTGAGGATGAGTCAATTATGACAATTTTGGGTGAGGTATCCCTTTAAGAATTTGAGTTATTTTATTTTATTTATTTATTTTGTTTAAGGCTGGGTTCATACTGTACATTTTTTCAATCCTTTATAATTGTTGCATGTTAGACTGTTAAATATGATCCTAATGAGATCTGTAAAAGCCATGGCATACTGTGCAACGTCAACAGTATTTTACTCATCATCACCAAGTTTTGCATTACATCAAGAAATCTCTTCCGAATTTGGTCTCAAACAGCAAAATTGCTACCTAAATTGTTAAGTTTAAACCTGGTAAGTAGAGGTTCACACTGTTCCTCATTCAATGAACTCAAAACATTCAGACATTATCTTGAGGTTTTGCCTTAACAACCTTGTTTTTGTACAACTCCCAATTTAGAGTGTTTAGACTTTATCAATGTTTTTTAAACATAGCACATCACATATTTGGACAGTTATGTAATTTTGAGCAGGACCTTAAAAGGCCAAAAGCAAGTGAAACTATTTGTAGCACTGCAGTTTTCAAAAATAGTAGTAGTTTTAGATGTTTTAAATGGATAATTCAGCCAAAATATTAAAATTCTCATTTTCGTTCCACACCAGTATGACTTACTTTCTTCTGTGAAACGAAATATATAGCGTGTGTGTGTGTGTGTGTGTGTGTGTACAATAAAGGTCAATGTGGTCCAATGTTGTTTTGAGGATGAGTAAATTATGACATTTTTGGCTGAACTATCCCTTTAAGAACCTGATTTAAAATCCAATTCACATGTGGCCATTCTTTTGAGAAAATGCACACATAGGTGTTGCCTATCCCAAAGGTGCCTGAACAAAACCCACTGTTCTTCTCAGTTGGATTTGTCATTTAAGCTTTCACAAAAGCATTGTGAGACTGAAAGCACAAAATGAGCCAGATCTCAAGGCTGTATCCTGTTGCAGTATGCATCTATGGCCGGGGTCAGAGGAGCTCAGGGACTGGGTTCATACACTAAAAATGCTGTCTTTTGTTTTTGTTTTTTTTTAACCCACATTTGGGTCAAATAAGGACAAAACAAAATGTTGGGTTAAAAATAACATTTAAAATGTTAACCCAACTTCAACTTTCACTTTCAACGGTAAATTTGGTTCTATATTTGACCCAAATTTGGGTTCAAACAACCCAGCATTTTTTAGAGTGTATGGAGGGAGGTAGAGGGGTGAGATAGGAGGGAGAAAGGATGTGGGAAGGGCGTTAGAGAACACAGGGAAAAAAAGAAAGGGAAAAAACGGACCGTGTGGGCAGGGTCTTAGCTGGTCAGTGTGTGTGTGAGTCAGAGAGAGAAAAGGAGGAACAGAAAGAGTTTAGTGGGGGTATATAAGCGGCACAGTTCTCTTCCTGTGGCTTTTAAGGGTTGACTTCCCTCAGCGTACACTCATATTCTCGTGCAGCCAGTACTTCACTTCTCCACCACCATGAGCTTCTACGCACCTCAGGCCTCTCACATGTCCTTCACCCGCTCTGTGCCCGCACACCGTGCTGCAAGTACGTATGGTGGGGCAGGTGGACAGGGCACCAGGATCTCATCCGTCTCTTCCATGTCTCTCCGTTCGGCACCTAGAAGCGGTGGCCTTACCTCTTCCTCGGCCTTCAAGGTGAGCTCAGCCGGCATGGGTGCTGGTGTAGGGGGTTCCCTCAGGGCCGGTGCTGGCTCCTCAGGGGCCCAAATGGGCAATGAGAAAGGCCAGATGCAGAATTTAAATGACCGTTTGGCCACTTACCTGGAAACGGTGCGAAGGCTGGAGCAGGAGAACAGCAAACTGGAGATGAAGATCAGAGAGGCCCTGGAGAAAGGTGGACCAGAAACTCGCGACTACAGCAAGTACAACGCCATCCTGGATGACCTGAGGAGGAAGGTGAGAGACAGAGTTGGGTTTATATGCTTTCCATGTGTGGGGGTTTTCAAGCTGCAAAAGGAAGCAATTGAGAGTTTGAGAAAGAGCAGGCAGTTATTTATGTTAGGAGGAAGAGATACCAGATGTTTTGAACTAAAAAGAAAATCATAATCAAAACTTAGCAGTAATGTAAAAGTTTTGCCTAAGCAGAAAATGTTATATTTTATGTCATTTTATATTTTAATTTCAACAAAATACAATTCCTATAGTGTAGTGTACTAGACATCTTGCAATTTATGGTATGTAAATGTATATAAAATAATATAACATAATTTAGTAAATTTACAACAAAAATAATTTTCGTTTAGTTTGTTTTTTAAAGTTTGTGTGGATTTTAAACCAATGAAAACTATGTGGGTTTTTTGTTGTTTGTTTGCCACCAAAATCTGAACTTCATGTCTTAAGAATATCTTAACAAAAAATGTGTTCATGAGAACCCTTCAGTGAAATAAAAACCCATGATTAGATTTCTGTACATCTCAATGGAGGGTGTGGCACACGCCCTGTTCTCGCTCTCTCTCTCTCTCTCTCTCTCTCTCTCTCTCTCTCTCTCTCTTTCTTTTGTACTTGTTCTGCTTTTCATTATGCATTATGGTTACTACAAGAAAAATCTATGCCACCATGACATTGGTCACAATTGTTTCTAAAACATTAGAAGTATGTTTGACGGACTATAGCCAGCTGAAACTTCCTACAGAGTCTCTAAGTAGAGTCATAATGCAAAACAGATGTTGGATGAGCAATCGCACACACGCTCATGCACCCACACACAACAGCACTCTCGCACAACAAGAATGTAATGAAGAACTGCAACATTTTTAGCAGATGTGGCTTAGTCATAACAAAACATTTAGAGTTCAGAAATGTCTAATCTTTTCCTCAATTCCACAAATACTGAAAACTGAGCTGAGAAATAAAAACTTAAACTAAGATGAATTATTACTATATTCTTAATTTAGGAAAATACATTTTACTATAAATGTTATTGCATAAGTAGAAGCGCATAACATGCAACCAGTGCAGGATGTGGCACACAAACTTTATAGGAGTTATTGTTTTATAACTTCTATTTCAAATGTTCTGCTCTACAGACATATTACAGTATATCCAGATTCCATACATACATTCTCTCACACGCACACATCAAACATATAGCGATAAAATGCTTTCTGCCTTTTTTTTTTTCATATTTTATAGTCTTACTCAATCAGTCCATTTAATGCTTCAGAATTTCATAAAGAAATTTAATTCAGTAAAGCAAAATATGATTCCAGGTAATTACTTGATTAGTTAAGACCTCAAACGTCTGAACCTCATTCCAAAAACGCTGTAATTAAAACCATCTGACAAATCTTATCTTTCCCTACAGAAAAAAAAGATGGATGGATGTCAAAAACAGGTTTTTTTTTTGGTCAAATATGTGCTTTGTTTTGCCTGTAGGTGTTTGATGCCACTTTGGACAATGCTGGTTTTGTTCTGCAGATTGACAACGCTCGTCTGGCTGTAGATGACTTCAGAGTCAAGTGAGCTTCCATTATTACACCACACCACAAGCATTTTAACTCAAAACCAAATGAACATGCTTCTGAGAATGTAGTCATTTTTAGAATTACACATGGATGATGGAGGACTGTTGACATGCACACAAAAAACATTATAGTGAATTACTTTAAAGACGTTTATGTGTGTGTTACAGGTTTGAGAATGAGATGGCCATCAGGCAGTCTGTGGAAGGAGATATTGCAGGTCTGAAGAAGGTCATTGATGACACCAATATTGGACGCCTGAATGTGGAGGGTGAAATTGAGTCTTTGAAAGAAGAGCTCGTCTTCCTCAAGAAAAACCATGAAAATGTAAACAACCATTGCACGAGCCACTTAACACACACAGAAAGATATTCTCAGAATAAGCTTAAAAACCCCATGATACAATTTGACGAGGCGTGAATAAATGTAAACATTTATTGTGTAAGCGTTTGGATTTATAACTTGCTGACTGATCTCATGAAATGGCGTCTGTATGACATGCCAATTAGTATTTCCATTTTTGGCTTTTCAGCGTGTTTATGAACGCCGTTGACTTAATATTACATTACTGTATAAATAAATATAGGACCTAGCCCAACCCCGTCCCTAAACCTACTCATCACTGGGGTTAATACCATTTATGAGTGTTCCCTACCATCCTATTGTAGAAAAAAATATCGCTCCCCAAATGTAGATCTACATTTTGCTTCGTTTCGCTCTAACATTTAACGGCGAAGACATACACGCGGATAGCTCAAAATGCGAATAGATAACACGCCTCTTCAATTGTAAGTGGTGTGTATGTTTACGCAAAAGTCATCATGCCATGTTGAAAAGACAACACAAAACGTCATGCGGGCTTTAAATTGATCACAGTCTGTTTTTACTTCAACAACATAAACATGATCGGAATTCAGAAAAGGCATACTCCAAGTGTCTCAGATTTCTTTTCTGTTCAACTTTGGCAGGAAGTTGGGGACTTCCGAAACCAGATCTCACAGTCAGGTGTTCAGGTGGATGTTGATGCACCCAAAGGACAGGATATGGCTCAAGTGATGGAAGATATGAGGGCTAACTATGAAAAGCTAGCTCTCAAAAATGCAGAAGAACTCAAAATGTGGCACGAATCCCAGGTACAGAAGCCTTGATAACTACATGACATGATCTAACAAACTAAACCAAAACCTAACCATCAAACTCTTTCTCCTTAGATATCAGATGTTCAGGTGCAGGTCGCTCAGAACACAGAGGCATTACAAGGAGCTCAGATGGAGGTTAATGACCTTCGGCGACAGATGCAAACACTACAAATAGAGCTCGCATCCCAACAAAGCCTGGTAACGTGCACATACATGCCACTTTAGGAATGTTTTAGATTTCAGATATCATATTTCAGATCTATAAAAGCTGAACTTTTCATAAAATAATAAATTCATGTTGAAAATATATGATGCCAAACTTTCTAGAAAGCGTCACTTGAAGATACCCTGCGGAACACAGAGCAGCGTTCAAATGCAGAGATGGAGAAGTACAATAACATCATTCTGCAGTTTGAAGCTGAGCTGGGACAGCTGAGGTCAAATATCACAGAGCAGGGTCAGGAATATGAAGCCCTGCTTAATATGAAGATGAAACTGGAAGCCGAGATCAGCACTTACAAGAAACTTCTAGATGGGGAAGACTTCAAGTAAAGACATAAAGTAAAACTTTAGTTGTTATATTTTACAGTGAATCATACATGCACACTCACTGAATCTGATTTTTCTTTGTTTTTTAGACTCCAGGATGCACTAGACGGCCGAGACTGATGTTGCAAGCGCCAATCTTGAAGAGCAGACCACAGAATGTGGGCTAAACGACTCATCAAATAAAGTTACAATTTTAGACAGCATTCACATCGAAAACTCGTGGCAAATCTTTATCATTTGAAAGTCCCTTTCCAATATGTCTAGACACAACAAATGTAGGTTTCATTTGGTTGTCATTTACAGGTTAATTATTACTTTACGTCAACAAAGCCCGTTCCACCCTACAGTCTAATTTAACACATACAATAAGAGTTACAGAACAACAGAAGCAGCTTTTTAAACATTGAGTATCTTTGAGTCTTTATAATACACAATCCCATGTCATTGCACATTTATACAGTAAACCCAACCATACGATTAAATGTGTAGAGAAATGTGAACTTCTCTCAAGTCAAGGTAGTAATGAAATAAATAGTGCTTTGTGAAATGTGTAAAAGTGAAATTTGGAATCAAGCAAACACATGGTACAACGGTTTCCTCTGTGAAGTTGCAGTTTTGTCCACTAGATTGAATGGCTCTTAGTGAGCATAAATGGGTCCTACAAGATGGTGTATTTCACACACAAATACATTAAACTCAAATTTTAGTAGAGTAAGTCTAGCTACAGCTCATTATTCAGTGTACTCATATATTCCAAATGAAACAAACCCTATCAAAAATGTGACGGGCTCTTTTAAGGCAGAACTTCCATTCTTACTGAGCATTAAAATTCATCCGGATTTATACAAGTGATTGGTTTAATATGTGATATGTTTTAAGTCAGCTGTTGGACTAACACCAAGACAGGATACAAAAAAAGGCATTTGATAGACAACATTTAAAATCACATGATGTTTTAGCTGCCAATGCTGTTAACTTCCACTAACAAGACACAAGCTTGTTAGCATTTAATGCTAGCCATTTGAAGAAGGGCCATCTGGTTTCACTCCAAGAAAAAGCTCTTACTACAAGTTTTAGTCTATAAAATGTATAAAAAGTTTATAAAAAATAAACAGTATTAGTACATGAAATTGTGCTACATGTTAGCTAAGACAATGAAGCATAGATCAATCTGGAAAAGTCATTGGGATTTGTTTACTTGACTTTTGCACAATGAGCTAATGCCATAGCTAATTAGCTTGCTAGAGATCCATTGCTTGAGTCGTGTAAGCCTATAACTAAACTGATTCCCTGAAAAGCTTAAGTGGATTGATTTTGAGTTCTCCAGAAAGATTGAGACACTGTGAATAGCTCCAAAAGTACTATTTCTAATAAATCAACATGAAATATAATGCAGCTGCTTATTTGATAACGGTTCTGTAGGTTGCACATTTACACTTTGGCTTCACAAAGGAAGCTATTTTAAAATGAAATTACAATAAAAATTTTAAAAATTACACTAGGGCAAAAAGATTTTTACTAAACACACCGAAAATATTCTGAAAGAGCTATTATATCCAATTTGCAAACAGACAGAAAGCAACGTAAAATCAGCTGAAATATTGCCTACAACAACTGTTCAACTTGTGGGCTGCATATGCAGAGTATACAAATAAATGACAGTAATGCCATCAGTGAGCTGTTACAAGTTATGCCATATATACATCATATATATGTTTATCACGCAACAACTGAGAGTTTAAACTTACAAAAGAGTGCATGTTAACTTATAGAAGATGTAAGAAAAACAAGTGAAATTGTTGGGGAGAGTGCGTGTAAAGCACCAAAACAAGTGTTGTGCCTAAATTGATGACTGGTGAATAGCTTAAAATATATTAATTTATATATTTTATTGGCTAAGACGCCATATATTAAACCATAGAAACCTCCAATAGCCTACCTGAAGAAAAGTTGAAGCATTCCCAATGAGTATACAACCGAAGGCTGCCATCTTTGCTAATGGAACATTTGTCATGTGACTGATCACCTGTCAAAAGAAAATTAGGGAAACTCTTTTTTATACATTGCTGAAAAACCTATTTTTGCTATAAATTTAAATAAAGAGCAGCAGTGTTTAATAAACACTGATGGGTTTAATAATGAATTAATACTTTTTTTTTTTTTTGCAAACTGTCCAATGAATGTAATGACATGAATGACATTCTGTTTCTCTATATCTATTTTACAAGCTTTTCTAACAAGAGTTTGCTAAAGTATTTCTAAAGATGAAACTTTGCATGTTAATTAAGTTTCATTTGTTTTGTTTTTTATCTTTCTCTGGAGTCAGAGTGACCGGTGGTTATCAAGTGCCCCTTCAGAGACTGACATAGATAGAGCGGCTGTTCACAATGACAAGCACAAGCATATGTTAAACACATACATTGAGGTTTTTAGTTTTGTTTTGAATTTTAAATATGAATTTTCCATTTAACATATTTCAAATGGCAGGGAAACATCTCCACAGTAAATAAATAAATTTGTAAAAAAAAATCTGACTTTAATAAAAAAGAATTCAAATGATTACATGAAAGCTGATCGGATGAGCGGAAAGGAAGATTGTTTAGAACACAACAGAGAGCTTCTCCAAAGCTCATTTATGTGGAAGGATTCCTCTTCGCATTCCAGGGATCTTCAAAACCTCAGGAGTGGAATTACAGCCAACAGCACCCTCAGCTGTTTACTCGATAGAAGTTTTATTTTGAGACCCAGATAATTTTTATCCATCACAGGGGTTGTTTAACAAAGCCCTCAGAGAACCACAGACAAATAAGTTGTTGCACTGGACAATACTTTTTAAAAAAGCAACACCAATGCCATGTGTGCATGATTAAGTCACAATTGAATACGTTAATCTTAAATAAACAGTAACAGTTATTTGAAATTAAAAAATCCTAAAGAGATGTCCATTCTCTCTCTCTCTCTCTCTCTCTCTCTCTCTCTCTCTCTCTCTCTCTCTCTCTCTCTCTCTCTCTCTCTCTCTCTCTGCTTAAATACTTTCAACTAAAAGGGAGGGCAGGGGGAGGGGAGGATTTGGGTGGGGGAGGGGCTGTGCATGTGGGCTGTTGTCACAGGGACAGAGGGAGGTAGTGCAGAGTTGGATAGAAGAAGAAAAAAAGAAGAGGCAAGAGACAAAAAAAATAGTGAGAGGCATGGCAGCGTAAAGCTGGGAATTTACTTATAACTGCAACTGTGCAATGGGGATTCACAGAGAGGGACTGGTATGTTTCTTAATGCATGTGGAATACAATGACAGCTTTTATCTATTTTTAAAAACACTCTGTCTTCATCTCTGTCTCTCATTATCTGTTAATAGTCTTTTGCTTGTGAAGTTAAGGAGAGAAAACACTTTTTGGTTGCACATGCAGTCTGTGTTTAAGTTATATATTATAATGTCTGTTTGTTCCTTCTGGTTTGTATGGATATAGGTATGTGAGATTTTAAGAAAGTGTGACATCATGCAAAATATAATTTATCTCTCTTTCTTTCAGGGATCTGTGTTTATGAGCAATGGTGGAAAGATTGATGCACCCCAATAGTATACAATCAAGAATAACACACTGACAGAATTCTGGTTAAAACAGCATGGTGAGTTCATGCACGATGCAAAAATAATAATATTAATAATTCCATATTTATTATATAGCCTAAGTCTGTGTAGATGTGTGCATATGTTGAATACGATTCTGCTGGAAAGTGTGTGTTCAGCAGTAGCCAAGAGAAGAGTAATGACTTTACCAGCTGTTTCTTTGCTTTCAGCTCATTAACCTTTTCACTCTATCAAGGGAAGAATAAGAATTGTTGTATATTATTTGTTTTACTGATAAAACAAAAACCTTTATTTAGATTTATATTTTCAAACTAAAGGATGGCCAACATCTAATCAAAGGTAATTTGCAGTGCATGGAATTATGTAATATAATGACTAATACAACTCTTCTTATGGCCAACTTGGAGCGTGTGTACGTGTGTGTACGTGTGTGGGTTTTTTTCTTCTTTTTTTTTGCTGTGTGAGAGAGAGAGTAAGTGTGTTTGTTTGTGTGTGTGTGTGTGTGTGTGTGTGTGTGTGTGTGTAGAGGATGTGCTTTGTAAAAAGATTCCAGGCTGAATTCTTGGCATTCCGGGTGCAGCCATATTTATGGATGGGATCCTCTATCTTCAGCGGAAGTTCTAGGAAGTGTGTCAATTGGAGGAAAGCAACATAAAGATATAAAGACATAAATAAAAAGTAGATTTGTACATAGAAACATGCACTTGAAATGAAATGAACAAGAGTAGTTGTGTTTCATAAGGATTTGTTGGGATTGGCGAGGAATCTCCTCTAGAACCGTGGCTAATATGTTGATGTTCATGTATATGTGTTTAAAATGCTCTTAAATCTTAAAGTGTGGTGTCAGTCTCCTACCCTCTCTAGAACTTCGCTCTAATCTGTCGATTCTAATCTGCCTTCATCTTCCAGAAGGCACACGAAAATAGACCCACATGCACACACACATATATAAATATAACTGGTTGTAAATCCAGTGTTCAATCGCTCATTTAAATCGTCTTTCCCTCATCAAAATGTGTGAGGATGATGTGTGCAAGTGCATGTGTGCTACTGAGATTACACTCGCACAGATTAAGATGCAAAGAATAGATCACATCTTGCCCAGATTACTAAGCGGTTCCATATGGTGAATTCTTGTTGGAGTCCAGTTGTGAACTGGTGGTGGTTTTGCAAAACCACTAAACCTTGTGATTTTGCTATTATTTTCTATTCCTGGTGGAGAAACAATGCACGAGGTAGCTAAAGGAGCTATTTAAAGGGACGGTTTACTCAAAAATTCTGTCACCATTTACTCACAGGTTTGAAATGAGGGTGAGTAAATGATTGTATGAATTATTTGTCATTGGTAAACTATCCTTTCTCTGTCATGTGCATTATTTTTCTGCGATGAATAAAAAGTACTAATAATAACACAATACAGAATTTTCACAATAAAACAATACAGAACGTCACATCTGTACACATCTCGGCTAGTAGCTATATTGTGTGTGAGGATGTTGGAGATTTATAGTCTTTTCTCACAGCACTTGATATAATTAAACTTATCATTTATAAGTTATAACTAATCATTTATAATTAGACTCATCAAAAATTGTGTTCATCCACGCTGTGCCGCATCAAGGGTGTTGAAGTACAACCTACGTAAAGTTGTTAATTGACCTATGGCTGACCACGCCCTCAAACGTGATGAGCCAATCACAGTGCGCAGCTAACCCAACACACTGCTTCCACGTCCATTGAAATCCATTGCAGTTTGTCAGTTTTCATTAGTTTTTTCCTTGTCATTTTAAGTTTAAAATGGTCAAACGGTGTGCATGGGGTACATGCAACTCTGACACTAGGTTCCCGAGAGGCTGGGTGATGGCGTGTATTTTTTTTACCCTTTCCCAAGCCACATCTCAACCGAGATATGTTGAGATGTGGCTTCTCAACACCAAATGGTGATGGCAACGATATGTGGTTTATTTCGTTTACACTGTGACCTGTACATTTTTTCCTGGAGAGCTGAAGCTTTTCATCGACCTTCTCAACAATAAAATTATTAATATAACTCTCCAATGCACCTAAAGCCACTTTAGGTGACTTTGAGATGATATATAATCGTTCTGTCTCCAAAATCACCAATTGCCTCCAGTGAAATGTCTCCTACTGTGACCGCTGCCATAGCGCCTGTCCCTGAATGTTGACTGTTTGTCCGAGTGAGTGGAGGGGGCGTGGCTTAGCCATAGGTCAATTCCGCGAATGGCTGCAATTGCAGATTTCGAACAGAGATGGCGACAAAGAGGAAAATCACATAGGAAAAATGCCGGACTGCAGCTTTAAATTATATTAAACTAACTTTTAAAAATGTAGTTGAATCTCTTATAACAAACGAAATTGCTTAAATTATTTTGATGAGTTAAAGAAATGTAAAAAAAAACAAAAAAAAAAAAACACATGCTGTCATGACTTAGTGATCATGTCCTTTTTTTCAGTGAAAAATGTATAAAAATGTAAAAAAAAGTAACATCATGCAGAATTTGAATTTTTTGGTGAACTATCCCTTTAAATACATCCTGCTATAATGTGCATCTTTTCTCAGCAATGAATAAAAAGTAATTGTAAATAAACTATTAATTGATAGTAAGTAAAGTGTCTCTTTAATCACCTCTTTTTTCATCTTTTTCATGTATAATTTCTGAACTTTGATTTTTGAACTGTTCCTTAAATACCTCTTAGCTATCTTGTGACTCTTGTTTCAACGATGAATACAAAGTAATAGTAACAATGTGCAGATTTTCTAAATTTTCATTTTTTCATCCCTTTAAAACAAATTCTTTTAGCATGTACAATATGCCAAACTAAAAGCTTTATTAATTTATCATTATATATTTGGATTTTCCAGGTGTGGCAATGATGTGGTCATCTGAGTGGGCGGAGCAACACTATGATGTCTCCTCCACCACATCTCCAGTTCACCCTAAGCCCCTCCCATATCCTCAGCCCGGTCGTCCTGCGTTCTCCGGCTACACTGATGACATCACTGCCCTCAGTGCCTCTAGCTTGCTAAAGCGCTATGCAGAGAGGTATTCCTTCAACTCGGCCTTGCCAGAACCTGGGGGTTTCCTGAGAAGTGAGCAGCACCAGGAGCCTTGGCCTGGGGGGTACAGCACGGACGGGCCTCCCGGTTTAGACCCACTGAAGGGGAGCGGAAGTGATCTTTCCGAGCAGCAGTATAGCAGCGGTTCCACGTCTCAGGACTACCCTTCATCCTACAGCAGCCAACATCTGCTACCTAAACCATCCTATCTTCCGTCACCAGCGTTTGCCTTGCCGTCGGCATACCTGCCCCCAGCACCAGGCTACGCTTATCCCCAGCAATGCGGTCTGACGGCTAGTTACCCCCACAGCACCCCTGCTCTGCTGCCCTCGGGTCTACACACCCCCACGCCTCTTCACAGCAGCCATGGTGCTGCTGATCTCCCACGCAACAGGAAGTTTGGCTTCGACCAGTCCAAAACAGCCAGGGTGTCGCCTTACACAATCAGGGACAAGAGCGAACGGCAGAACAGCGACAGTGGTGGAAATGTCAATGAAAGCTGTGGGACGGATATTCAGAGCTACAGGCCCGATAGACTTTCCGCTCAGTCCGATCTCGAAGCCGATTCTGTGGGCAAGACCAGTCATCTACGGCCTCCGGAGACAAGGTCTTACGGAGGTGCGGGACAGTACACATATCCCTGAGTCTACTTGATGTAGTCAGTCTGACCTTGTTTTTATTTTATACATGATTATAGCAATACTTGAACGTATCAAACATCAGGGCGAATATTATTACGGTATGAGACCAGATGACGGTGACTGAGAAGATAGATGTTTCTCTTATGCACATTATCATTATTCCTGACTGCAGCTTCCATGTGACCTGTAGCACAAACACTCTTTTATGTCCCTGAAATTACTCTTTCTTTTTTATTCTCTTCCTTTCCTCTTTTACTCTCTCTCATCTCTCTCTCTCTCTATAATTATGTTGTGCAGTGAAGCACATTATGGTGGCAAGCACTAATCCACCGCTTCAATCAATGAAATCCAAGCCAAAGAAAGACTGAAAGAGAGGAATGGAAAAGAGAGAGAAATATGGTAAATCAAAGCACACATATGAGAGTTTCATGTCATATGGTTTTCATACATTTTGTTAGTGAGCATGTCAGTGGTAATAGTCATGGATGTTCTTCAACACTGAAGTCAGTGGGATAAAACTCTTTATTTTAGGAATATTAAGATTCCTCTATAAGCCTTGAATGTAAATCTGATTTCCCTCAGGAATTGTGAATGAAGCCATACTTAATGTTTATCTTATCCATATTTTGAGTTTGACAGATGTTTTCGTCTTTTATTGTCTAGTTAGTGTAGTTTATTTGCCATGTCCATCATTTAAAAAAGAAATTGTAACCTTACAAACAGTATTTTGCTGATTAAAATGCACAGCGTACAGAACACATAAAATAGCTTTTACAGGGCTACTGCAAAAAAAGGCTCAAAGGGTTTTTGCAGTCTTTTCCACAATTCACCTATTGTGACGTTTACTATGGAAACCTAGAGAGCTGTCCCAGCCCCCTGAGTTGATCACTGGATGCGTTTTCCTCTGACCCTCTGACCCTTCTCTGTTTTAAATGAGGCAAGTGAAAGAATAGAGAGCTTTTGTTATGGAGAGGCAAGCGGGACATACACTGAAATGTACAAACCCAAATGAAAATGAAGTTTTATGTTATTTTAACTCTCACGATAATGCAATATATGGGACATACATGTACAATTTTCATCTACCTCACTGTTACATTTCTGTATGTTCAAAGTATGCAATTGTGTATTACATGTCTAAATGTCTACCTCAAGAAAAAAAAAATACACAAAATAAAAACTATCGTAGCAATACAGCATTTGCTCTCTTGATTTTTGTTGTTACAAAGGCAGTAATATTGTTAAATATTACTACAAATTACAAGTATTTGAATAATTTCTATTTTAATTTAAAAATACAGTATTTATTCCTAATGGCTAAGCTGAATTTTCAGCATCATTACAGTCTTCAGTGTCACATGATCCTTCAGAAATCTGTCTAATTTGGATTTGCTCAAGAAACATTTGTGTAGAAAACGGTCCTGCTGCTTTATATTTTTTGAAATTGAAAAATTTATTTTTTTTGATTCCTTGACGAATAGAACGTTTAAAAGAACATGATTTATTTGAAATCGAAATGTTTGTAAGAATTTAAAAGTCAATACTGCACTTTTGATCAATTAATGCATCTTTGCTGAATAAAAGTATTAATTTCTTTCAGAATAAATCAAGCTGATATTGATATTTAAAAAATCATAGCAGCCTAATGTATGCAGTCCTCAAATACATAATGATTTTATTATTCTACAATCTGCAAGTATTGGGCTTTTACAGCCAGGCTTTACAGTTAACAGTATTCATGCTTAGCACTAGTCCATAAGTGCCAAATGCGCAGCTGGTGCCGTTAGGTCACCTTGTATCATGTCCAAGGTGATATTCACATATCATGGTCTTCAACTCCCAACAGAAAATCACAACCTTATGGCTGTGCAGATGTGTCACATGGTCTTTCAAGGAAAAGGTCAAGGGGGTTTGTGTTCATTTGTGACAGTGTTCAGTGATACAGTGAAAATCTTTTCTAAACCACCATCCCCTCCATGTATGTAAAAAGCACACTCAAATTTAATTGTATATATTTTTAATTTTATTCTATTATAGTAGTTCAATTTAACGCTCTTTTCGATTTATTGACAGTTATCGTATGTGTACTATTTGGGTGTTGCCCTCTAGTGGCCAACCGTTTAAACACTCTCAAACGAATATTCCTTCAATCATAATTTTTTCCCACATATTCTTTTTATTTCGGAAGTCCTCAACTCTCTCAAACTGAACACTAAACACAGATTCTGACTTTTGACTCTCCACTTCTTCTTTATGGCGACCCCCCACCCAAAAGCACTCCCTGCAGACACTGTGCAGCAGAGTGTGACAGATGCTCTATTCTCTCCGTCCACCCCCCACCTCCCAGCACACACAACCCTCAGCGCTTTGTTTTTCAGAAATCTCAATATGTTCTCGCCTCAGTGTGAGCCGTTTAATCTTAAAACTGATAGAGATTAAACGGGTCTTTAATCTTACAGATCAACATCTTTGTGTAGACCAGTTTTAGACCAGAGAATGGTTGTTGGTCTACAAATTTAAATGACTCATACAGTATATGATGCCACTTTACTCTCTTTTATACAACATAAAGAAAAGTAATCTAGCATGTAGGCTTGAATATATCACTCTATTTACTCAATGTCATGTCACTCTATGCTTTTCTTTCTTCTGTGAAACACAAAAGAAGATAAACATGTAAAGTGACTGTGTCATCAAATATTTCCCCACATTTTGGCCCTGTCATAGTTCAAACATCATTTGGTTAAAACAAATGTTGATCTGCTGGTTTTTAGTCCATATTTAGAGTTTAAATATTTACCAGTAATTGGGTGTGGTGTTGGGCAAAGTGCACCAGAAACTTGATAAAGTGAGTAAAAACGAATCTAGTCCCAGTAGGCTATATGTTGGTAATTCAGTCTAATTAAAGACATTTCAATTCAAAGTTCCACAAAATTATTCTGCCTGTTATTTTAGTCAAGCTATGTCTCGCTCTCTCTCTCTTTTTTTAACCACCAGTTGGAGTAAGGACATTTGGACTTTTTTTTTTTTTTGTGTGATTCTTTGTTTGGCTCACAGTTGACAGGGGTGGAGTGGAGGAATGCTCTTCAACAGCTAACACAGCCTTCAATTCATCATGATAAGAACACAGAACGGGGACATACACAACCCCATCAATGACACTGAAAACAGAAACCGTAGGAAGTGTTTGTCAGCAGTCCTTACAAAGTCAATGTTGCGTGTATCCAGCAACACCATGGAACAGTGATTTCTGAACAGAGGATGTATGCATACCTTGAGGACCCAGGCAGTACTTTTGCATTTTTTATACATATATAATTTATACAACAGTTCATTATGGTTCTTAATTCTGATTGGCTGAGAGCCGTTTTCCGGCCATGTAATGTTCTACAAGTATCACCACGCGAACCGTAACACCGTTTGTATCAACCGCTTTCAACATTTCTCACGGAAAGTGTCATGGCGGATGAGCAAAACCACCATAATTTTACAAATATTACTGTTGTTGTGTCATGGAATATTTTTTTTGGGCGATAATGTAGTTATTTAGACAATTTGTTTAAACGGTTTCCCAGATTCGGGCTCAAGGGCATCACCGGCTGTTCAGTGCTCATCATGTAGGCCTACCCGCCGAGAACAGATTCACTTATCCAGTCCTTTGGGAATTTGCCACTGGCTCTGTAGATAGTGTTTTAAAATGAAGTAGGCCTATGATTTATTTTAGGCATTCTATATCAAGCTGGCAATATTTGGTCTTATTAATCTATTAATTGTTCCAAATTATTTGGCCAAGGCAGGCAAAGTGAAGTTTCAAAACGGTGTATTTATTTAACTGAAATCCTGTAGGCCTACTATAATTAGTGCTGCATTTTTACTTTTGAATAAACTGTTTGCTTGTGTTTGTTTCCTATTGTACAGACTTCTTATAATTTATATATAATGGCTAATAGGTGGTTTGCAGTCACGTGATTGTGTTGACGCGAGGAATGCAGATGGAGGGCAAGGAGTGAAGAGCGCAATGGACGAGATGGAGGAAAATCCGTACTGTGCTACTTTAGACGCTATTACAAGAGAAATATATAAACAGAAAATCGAAACATATGTTGGACGAGATCCTTACGTTATGAAGAGGACCGATTTTCAACTGAATTGAGAGATTTGCCTGCCATCAAGGCTGTAGATATCAGCAACTAACTCGTCTTACACACATACTTTGACTTTACAAAGTTCGGAAACTGGTACGTTACACGAACAGCCACATAGGCTAAGTGTATTTAAACACCTGAATAATGTAATTATAAGCCACATAAATAATGTATTAGGGTGATTCTTCAATTAGGGGAACTTTTATGTCCCCAGGTTATACATTCATGTTAAAAATACAATATTATAAAATAAACAGTTTAGTTATTTAAAATTATATTTGTTGTACCACGAAAAAATGTTATACACAAAAATCAGTATGATTTCCATTTTTAAAATTATTTTCATCACTAATATTTGGCTATTCAGGCCTTGTCCCCAACCCAGACTTCAAAACTTGTCTGCTCTGAAAATGTGATAAAATGTAATCAGTTCATTAAACAATTACAATATATGTTTAAACAGTAACTTTAAAAGGCACTTGATGCATAATTCGGGTTAATATCTGTGCAATTTGTGAATATTTTTAACAATTTAGTATTGTCCACAACAATACTGTCATTACCGCAACAGTCTATAATTACAACAAGGATATTTCTGAGGGTGAGACTTGTTTATGCCGTAACCATGGAAATGAAGACTAGAAGTGGAGCACATGTCAGCCATGAAAGAACAGTGAAATTTGATGTCTGAAAAAGTAAGTTATTTAATCTTGAATTCTTTCTGATCATGGAGTAGACTTATTCAGCGTCATTACCATAAATGTTGTAGCAGCAATATTTTGATACATTTATATATACATTCACGTGATTTATGTGTATTTAAAGTTTTTTGTACTAGCTGTTGAGTAATGTTAGCAAAACCATGACCTAGCATCTTTTTTTCCTGAAAAAAATTAAAAATATCATTACCGCAACACGTCATTACCAACACACAACTTGTTGTGATGGTAATGACAAGTGATGGTGGTAATGACATGTTCCGTGTCACTATCTATATCATATTGTGTGTTTATTAATTAAGTTAAAGAAGCATAATACTGTGGTTTTACAGTGAAACTTAAGTGATAGGTCTTACTTCATAAAACATTTTTTTCTTATTTTTTTAACCAGAATGGCTTCCAAGAAATCAACAGAAAGGTCTAGAGATTATAGAAAAAAATTGAAGGGAGATCCTGTAAAATATCAGCAGTATGTTTACAGAGAAAAAGAAAGATACAAAAGAAGAAAAGAAACAGGAAAGCTTAAAGTAATCTCACACTTTAAGGCATTTTTCCACTACACAGTACCAGCTCGACGGTGTTAGGCCTACCACTCATAAGCAGTGTGGAACCTGTGTTAGGCTGGGTCCATACGTTGCGGTCCCTACAGTGACGGGAGTGTGTGATGCAAATCACGCACGCCAATTACATTGGCTCGTTCAATAGTACTCGAAGAACATAGGCTCTCTGGCGCGATCCCCATTCAGTCAACAGTCGACAACGTCCTCCGTTCCCTCCTTCAGGAACGGTGGGTTGCATACGCAACCAGGGCGATTTCTTTTAACAACACTCACCAAAAGTCATTATTTTAAGCCTTTAAATTTGCTTTACGTATCAGTGCACTTTTCATTTATGTCATTACCAAAACACTATGTCATTACCAGAACAGTATGTCATTACCGCCACGTTGCTTAATTTACAGCAAATGTACCTTTAAAAATGTTTTATGTTCAATCCTGAGGTGCTACATGAAAAGCCTAATAAAATACTCATTCACCTATTCAAAGAAAAAACATCTAAAATTAATTTTCCAGAAATTAAACAAAAGTGTGCTTTGACGAACACAGAAAAATACGTTTTTATGGTAAGAACAAGAAAATATCCGTAATTCGCTGAGTGGAAACATTTTGTTTTTTATACGCATTGTTAAAGGTTAAAACTATTTGCAAGATAAATGAGTTTAAATGATCTCCTTGATACATTCTGTGCGTTATAAGACTTTTTGATGTTGTGATGGGAATGACATTTTGAAGTGCCAGTTGACAAATAGATATAAAATACTCAAATAATA